GATTGTCAGGCCGCGTGCTGGAGCTCAAGGACGAAATGGTGCGCGCCGACCTGTGCGAGACCCACTGCCTGGACCGCGTGCTGCAGGACCTCAAGCTCACCCCGGTGAGTGGGCCTCAGAGGCCCTGCGCGAGGAGCCGCCAGCCCTCGACCTCCGGCGGATTCGGAGCCACGCCCCCAGCTCGCTCTGGACTGGGTGGCGGTGGGACTGGCTTTGACGCGCCCCCTCCGCACATCCCTGGCGTTGCAACACTTGCAACGGGAGGAGGGCGGGGCAGAGGATTGGGTTGGGCTGGGTGAGAAGGCTGCAGGAACTGGGGGTATCTGGAGGTAGCTGGGATGGGGCAGAGGCAGACTGGGACCCGATGGCTGGGAGGAACCACCTTCTGCAGAGCGGTGGTGAGGAGAGTCCTCCAGAGGTCGCTCTTCCCGGTGCGTCCGCCCAGAGCGCTGCATCACCTAGGAGCCTTAGAAAGGCAGAGACTTCCAGCCACACCCACACCCCCCAGTCTCCATCTGTGTGTCAGCAAGACCCTCAGGTGCCCGGGCATGTTCTCCAGGCTGTTCCAGAGCACACAGTCGCAGGGCTCCCAGTCCTGCCCTGAGACCAGAGTTCTGCAGGCCATCTCAGTTTCTTCGCCAGCTGCAGGGTGGACTGGGAAGGAAAAGCAGTAGGAGGAACTGCAGAGCCCCCACCCTGCTCCTCTGGGTCGGTAGTCTGGGGGTCTGCCTTTAAGGGCTCCCCAGTTTCTTCTGATGCCCAGCCAGGTTTGGGCCCACTGCAGCCTACCAGGATCCCCCAGAATTCAACTTTGGTCAAATGATGGGTGCAGGGCAAGAAAGGAGTAGCTCTGGGGGATGGTCCACCCCATAGCCCATAGGTTTCCCGCCCTGGATCTTCAGGATGGAGGAAGACAGCGCCAGGAGGTGTGTGGCAGCTGGATGGCCCGCGGTGAGCTCCATGACCTGCCATCCCCCATGTCGCCCCAAGGCAGACTTGGAGGTCCCAGTCCCCAAGTACTTCCTGCTGGAGCAGTCCAGTGCCGTGAAGGAGCGAGGGCTGCTGCTGGCCGAGATCCTGTCCAAAATGGAGCCCGCGTCCTCTGAGGAGGTAGTGGGGAGACACCTTCCAGGCTCCTCCATACCCCTCCCAGAACAGGGGTGCTACCTTCCAGGATGCAGAGCCCTGCCCTGCCCTGCCCTGCCCTCAACCCCAGGACAGGTCTTGGGTGCCCTGATGCCCTGGGAGGATGTGCCCTCAGTGTGTGCTTTGGGGCCAGTCTCCCAGCTGCCCTCCCCTGCAAGCTCGCCCTCCTGTCCTCCTGCTGTCTCTGCTTGTGCTCTGGCCAGAGCTTTCCAGGAATGCACCGGACCGAGGCCATAATTCTGGTGCAAAGTGCCGAGCGGGCCAGGCAAGGCCGGCTCCGAGCCGCCTTTATGCGAGAGATCCGGAAGGAAGAGGAGCGGGAT